TGAGGAAACTGAGGCACAGAATTGACTGTGCCTGAGATCACAGTATCGCTGGTTGTGTGATCTAATCCAAAGTTCCTTCTCTAGACGACTGACAAGTTCATTACAGTATATAAAGCTGGCACTGTCCTATCCGTCCATCATAACATCAGTCATCTCACTGATGATTTCAACTTCAGTCCTTTTAATTTTTTTTTAGATTTATTTATTTATTTATACAAGCACTGGGTACAGTCAGAAGTGCGGGAGGGTGAGAAAATTCACCAGAGCCAGAGCGGGGAGCAGAGCAGGCAGAAGGACCGAAGGACACTGCTGAGGGGAGCAGCGGGCGGCAGGAGAGGTCTGCGCGCCATGTGGGACCCTCCTCCGGTGGCCGGGGAGCAGCCAGGGATCGAACCGGCGCTGCAGAGGCTGCGGGCAGCTTCGCAACCCAGCGCTCAACCGCTGCGCCACCGGGGAGGCCCCCGGTCCTTTTAATTTTTAAATACAGCACTTTTTTCTTACATGGCTGTTAAATTTTGGACAGTACGTCCTCCCCGACATGGTCGCCCTAGTTCTACCACCAAAGCACCCGAAGTCCATCACCACATTTGCCTGTGCTCTTCCCCTCCCCTTGCCCCATTTTCACCACCCCCCACCACCCCCACCACCCTCTCCTTCTGGATGATTTCTATCTATGGCCGGATTTCAAGGGCTGTCTTTACCTGACCCTCTGTCAGCCTCAGATCATCTCTTCTGCGCTAAAACCAAAGCTCCCTCTGCCTGATGAGAGCTGATCACTGTATGGGCAACCTGTGCAGTGGATGACGTGCACCATGGGCAAGTGAAGGAGATAGGTGACCCACCCTCTGAGCACCCCACTCTACAGCAAGGAAGCAGCTCCCAGCCCTGAGGAGCTTCAGATTTGATGTTGAGAAACAAGAAGTGAGAAGACAACTTAAGGACTCTATAGAGGTTACACACTCTACGACAAGAATTTTCCAACGGAAATGATTTAAAACGTCTGTTTCTGTTGGGGACAGTAACAGCTGCTTTCTCAGAGCTCTGATCAGGACAGTCTGGGTTGTTTGGAGCCCTACGTTAACCTGCCTTCTGCCTGGGCAAGCTCTTGGAGAGTCTGGTCCATACATGACTCTTCTCAGAAGACCCAGGCCCAGCTGAGGGCACCCAGGGGAACCCCACATTTTCTGCATGGGCAACTCCACATTCACAAGTCCAACTAGAAGTAAGGGGGTCAAAGAATGCTGAAGATAATATCTTCGAGACAGATTTCAAACACAGGTGGTTTTGGGGGTGCTGATAGCAGGACTGTAATCTCACAGTCATGCCCTGTTAAGGGCTCACAAAACACTTTAGGGAACACTGTTATACTCCATGTCACTCTGACGTTAAGAATTACCTCATATGGGTCTTCCTGGTGATGCAAGGGATTAAGATGCAACCCACAAAGCTACTTGCAGCCACTAAAACACGAGTTCAATCACCAGCCTGGGAGCTGACCCACAGGGTGCAGACCTCTCCTGTCTCCCCACTGCTCCCCTCAGCAGTGTATTTCAGTTAGTCTGCCTGTTCTGTTCCCCACTCTGCCTCTGGTGAATCCTCTCACCCCCCACACCTCTGGTCTGTACCCCAGTTCTTGTACGCATAAATAAATCTTTTTAAAAAATGAATTTAGCACCTGAAGTCAGTGTGGGGTGTGCTTGCTCTGCACTAACAGCTAAAGGGGAGCAGAGTTTATGGACAGAAGATAACTTGGTGGAAGAAGATTTCACATGTCCTGATAAAGCAGAGACAAACACTACAGATGTGCCAACTCACTCACCTCTTTTCCACCTCAGAGCTGAGAAGACATAAGCCTGACATGAAGATGTACTTGCTACAAGAGAGAAGGAGCCATGCATACCAAGAGATCAGCGAGCCCCAGGACAACAACTACCTCTGTTAAGTCACCCCCCTCACAGGGAAGGCCACCATGTCTCAGTCCAATGACTCCATTTCCTCAGTTGGCCCCAAATCACCTGCTTCCTCTAGAGACACAGAGGACAAGACAGAGGTCACAATGAGGGCGCAGGGTTCTTCCTGGGGCACTTCACAGCGGCGCATACTCTACCCTGTTGCTCTTGCCTCCAGATTGTGAGAATTGTCGGAACTTCTTCATTGACAGCTGTGCTGCACACAAGGCCCCTATATTCGTCAAAGACAATGAGGCGGACAAGGGGCATCCTGGCCACTCAGCCCTCACCCTCCCCCCGGGGCTGAGGATTGGGCCTTCAAGCATCCCAGAGGCTGGGCTGGGAGTCTGGAAAGAAGCCTCCGACCTGTAACTGGGCCTGCACTTTGGCCCCTACGAGGGCCCATCACAGATGAAGAGGCGGTCAACAGTGGGTATTCCTGGCTGGTGAGAGCCACACTCCTCCTGGGGTGATGGGTCTCACCTTCTCCAGGCTGGGCCAGTGGCAGGTGGGGAGAATAGGGGCCCTGAGTGCTTCATGCACTTCGGCTGAACACCAGCTCTGTGTGCAATCAGGGGTGGCTGAGAGCACAGGGAAGACGGGGGTGGTTGTTGCCTTCAGGGCCACTGAGCGACAAGAGGTGGAGACGATGACCAAGGGGAATACCCATGCCCACAGCAGAAGCCATGTCCATGCAGGCAAAAGCAGTGATGGCAGAAGGAAATCATTTCTGACCAAAGGCACTTTAATTTCTCTTCCTAAAGTGCAGATCACCAAAGGGAGAAACTTCTGAGTACGTAGGCGGAAAAGACAAGTCTTGGGCCTCTGGGTCCCACAGAGGAAGCATCTTCACAGCCTTTCCATTCCCTTCCCACCCCACTGTTGTCTCCTCCAAGCCTCTGCTCCTCCCTCTTCTCCATACAATGCTCTTTTATTTCAAGACACATGGGGGAAGGGGCTGAAAAAGATACTGCATGTCCTCAAAACATAAATCTCTGTGCTAGACAAAATGTGGGCACTTGACAAAAAAACCGAAGAGCTTAAATTGACCAGAGACAGGGGATCCCACCCACTCAGCATGGGGTGCAGCCTGCGCTCTGATGGCCACACACCCCAGTGCCTGGGGAGCTCACTGCAGACAGACAGCATAAACAGTCTAGGGACTGTAAGTATAATTTCTGTTTCCTGAGCTGTGCACACGCACACAGCCTGGACCAGGACCTCTGTCTCTGGCAGTGAGCTGGCTCTGGCTCTGAGGCTGGGGTAGGCAGCAGTCTGGCTGTGGCTTCTAAATTTAAAGAGGCTCACGCCGGTTCGATCCCCGGCTGCTCCCCGGCCACCGGAGGAGGGTCCCACATGGCGCGCAGACCCCTCCTGCCGCCCGCTGCTCCCCTCAGCAGTGTACTTCGGTCCTTCTGCCTGCTCTGCTCCCCGCTCTGGCTCTGGTGAATTCTCTCACCCTCCCGCGCTTCTGACTGTACCCAGTGCATGTATAAACAAAAACAAACAAACAAACAAATAAATAAATAAAACATGCCTCTATTAAAAAAAAATAAAAATAAATAAATAAATAAATTTAAAGAGGCTCAGCCTCGCTTCACGAGGGCTCCCCTTTTATCAGGGGACATAGAAAGTGAATAAACTAGAGTTGCTCCATGTTATGATGCTAGGACAAAGAGCCCCCCCCGATTTCCAGGAGAACCTGGGGGTGAAGGGGCCTCAGATAAAGCATGGGAAAAATGGAAAAAAGTCCCTCGAAGATGGCTGCAGGGGGGCTGATGCTGAGAGGCCTGCTGACCGAAGCATGCAGCCTACCAGACCACACTCTGGGCCATGAACCAGAAGGGAAGGCACGGTCTCGGACCTTAATGGCTCAGCAACAAGGAGGCCAGCCTGGAGTGGGCTTCACCAGTAGTCACCTGGCAGGAGGCACTGCAGCCACAGGGCCACAGTGAGTAGCACTGAGGTGGGCGGGTGTCACGTCCCTTATGAGGGGGCCTGAGGCATGACCAGAAGGTTCGCTGAGGGGGGTTCATCGCAGCAGGGGCTTGATGACAGGACAGAGGTGAGTGGGTCTCGTGCCTGGGGACTTACTTCCTGGCTTTCTTCCCCTTTGCCCCCTGAACCCAGGTACGTGAACTGTGCCAGGGACAAGGAGCAGCAGAACCTGGTGGCTTTTCAGTACCACAAGCAAATATTCTACCGCACCTGCCGGGTGGTCAGGCCGGGCCACGAGCTGCTGGTCTGGTATGGTGATGAGTACGGCCAGGAGCTGGGCATCAAGTGGGGCAGTGAGTGGAAGAGGGCACCTGCGACTAAGAGAGGTGGGTGCCGCTGTCCCCAGGCCCTCCAGGGAGGCTGGTGGGCCAGCTCCGAAGTAAAATTCAGTCCGTAAGATTTCACATCAGATGCTTCAGAAATTAAGAATTCAGTTCCTAGTGCCTCTTGGGAATAATTGTTACATTCTATTTTTTGTTCTGACTTTTTATACTCCATGCAGAAGATATACAACAGCGAAGCAGCGGGTCAGGCAGTCCCCCAGCAAGCTCACCAAGGGCGTCTGCCTGTGGCTGAGCCCCCACTCCAGCTCCCCTCTGCCACTGCAGGCTCCTGCCGCGCCAGACAGGGCTGCAGGCACTGGAGCCCCAGACAGACAGGCTGTGGCAGCACCATCCTGAGCACTGCCGGTGACACCCCCCACAGCAGCTCCCAATGTCGGGGCCAACCTTGGAGTCCAGGCTGTGGCACTGCGGGAAGGGCGCTCGGCGATAGCTGGCAGAGGCTCCCAGAGGAAGAGCTAGTGGGGCAGGGCAGGAGGCAGGCAGGGTATCTAGGGAGGCTGAGCCACCGCTCAGGTGGAGGAACACCGAGGAAGAGGGAGTCAGGAGGACACAGTGGCTCAGGGCTCCCGGCCACGCTGAGGCACTGGGGCTTTCCCACAGCAAGCTGGAGCAACCGTGTTGTTCTCTACTGCACAGCGGTATGTTGTGTTCTAAGATGACAGTCGGTTTTGGAGAATGCGCTGCAGGGCAATCCCCCAGGTACTTCACTTCCGAGGGTCGGAGAGGACTGGCATGGCTGAGGCAGGCGGGCAGGCCAGGCCAGAGAGGTAAGGCTGTGCGTGGACTTTGGAACAGGACTTCCGGAGTTTTAAAACGGGTTAAGACAGAAGAAAATAAATCAAATATGAATCTCAAGGGTAAGGCTGGAAGAAGGGAATATTTTCATTTGCTGGTTTGTGGGAAAGCGGTGCCAATCACAGCCCATGTGGCAGCAGGAACGAGTCCTTCAGTCGGCCGGGCCTGGGCCACACTTCAGTCGGTGGGCGGGGCTCGCCGTGGTGGGCGAGTGCTGCTACACTCCCAGGTCCTCATAAGGCACCACTGCGGGCGCGGCTGGGTGTTCTGATGTGCTGGTACTTCCCCGCGGAATGAAGCAGCTGCGGCACTGAGTCAGAGACATGGGGGTGCTGGTGTGAGGGGGTCCCAGCAGGCCCCTGCATGTAAGGAGCAGAGCTGTCTGATGCCACGTGCAGGGCCCTGGCCTGGTGATAGGTAAACAAGGCCTTCGATGGGGGCTTTCTGGATTCTGAAGATTTAAGTAAGTAAAGGAAGAATGGAAAATAGACCATCAAGGAACACTTGGTAGGAGACAAAGCTTCAGAATAACCGGGGGCTCTTCGGGAGACCAGGCCTAGGGCCCAGGTGACCAGGTCAACATGAATCTCAGCAAACACTCCTTCTTTCAGCAGAACCAAAGCCAGGGATCCACCCATGTCCTCCTGCTCGCTGGCCTTCTCCACTGAGAAATTCCTCAACCAACATGTGTGACACCATCATCCCACCCAGACCTTCCCAGCAACATCTGTGAGCAAACACCTCCCATCAGAGGATCCCTGCCCCGGTCATCAGAATCAGCAGCTGGCACATTCTGGTCCCCACAGCGGAATGACAAACTTGAAAGTCAAGAGGTCAAAGAAAGGCCCAGATCTTTGCTTAAAAGGATAAGGCAGAAGGTTTCAAAGGCCTTTTTCAACCTGCCAACAGGGCAAAAATGGAGCTCTAGGGAGCATGAGAGAGAGGGGTGGAGGAAGAGCCAAGCCCAGGCCAGAAAGAGAACCCAAAGGACACAGGCAAATTATTCACTGGGGTAGGATTGTCAATAACTACAACAGGCGAGTATGAAGAAGTGGGCAAGGCATTAGCATGGGGGTGCAGCCTGCGCTCCGATGGCCACACACCACAGTGCCTGGGGAGCTCACTGCAGGCAGACAATAAACAGTCTAGGGACTGTAAGTATAATTTCCCTGTTTCTTGAGCTGTGCACACGCACACAGCCTGGACCGGGGCCTCTGTCTCTGGCCATGAGCTGGCATTGGCTCTGAGGCTGGGGTGGGCAGCAGTCTGGCCATGGCAGTCACACCTCATCATACCCCAGAAGCCACACAGGGTAGAAGCCCTGTGTCTGCAGGGAGTGTGGGCGAGGCTTCAGTCGTAAGTCACACCTCATCACACCCCAGAGGACACACAGGGGAGAAGCCCTGTGTCTGCAGGGAGTGTGGGCAAGGCTTCAGCCGTAAGTCACATCTCATCACACCCCAGAGGCCACACAGGGGAGAAGCCCTGTGTCTGCAGGGAGTGTGGGCGAGGCTTCCATCATAAGTCACACCTCATCACACCCCAGAGGACACACAGGAGAGAAGCCCTATGTCTGCAGGAAGTGTGGGTGAGGCTTCAGTGATAGATCTATCCTCATTACACCCCAGAGGACACACACAAGGGAGAAGCCATGTGTCTGCAGGGAGTGTGTGCAAAGCTTCAGTCGTAAGTCACACCTCATCACACCCCAGAGGACACACAGGGGAGAAGCCCTGTGTCTGCAGGGAGTGTGGGAGAAGCTTCAATCATAAGTCACACCTCATCACACACCAGAGGACACACAGGGGAGAAGCCATGTTTCTGCAGGGAGTGTGCACAAGGCTTCAGTCAGAAGTCACACCTTATCACACCCCAAAGAACACACAGGAAAGAAGCCCTGTGTCTGCAGGAAGTGTGGGAGAAGCTTCAGTGATAGATCTATCCTCATCAGACCCCAGAGGACACACATAGGGGACAAGCCGTGTGTCTACTGGGTGTGAGGGCGAGGCTTCAGTCATAAGTCACACCTCATCATACACCAGAGGACACACACAGGGGGAGACCCTCTGTCTGCAGGGAGTGTGGGCGAGGCTTCAGTCATAAGTCACACCTCATCATACACCAGAGGACACACACAGGGGAGAAGCCCTGTGTCTGCAGGGAGTGTGGGCGAGGCTTCAGTCATAAGTCACACCTCATCATACACCAGAGGACACACACAGGGGAGAAGCCCTGTGTCTGCAGGGAGTGTGGGCGAGGCTTCAGCCGTAAGTAACACCTCATCACACACCAGAGAACACACAGGGGAGAAACCCTGTGTCTGTAGCAGGGTGAGTCAGTCATTATCAGTGAATCACATCTCAGCAGCCACAGAGGACAAAACCAGCCACCACTTATTCTGCACTTCCTCTGGGGTTGGGGGTGGGGGCTTCAGAGGAAGTCTACTGACCGGTCCACTCCCCACATGCCTAGTGGGGTCAGAAACCAACTGAACAAACCTCCACTCTCAAGACAAGAGATGAGGACACACAGGTACTTGAGTAGCATGACTGTCAATCCCCTCCATGGTTTTGTCTGTTTTGTCGTCTTTGCTCTAGTAAATTTTGTCTCCGTACAAATTTGACCCAGGTCACGTACCTCATTGGTCCTTGAAAACATAGAGGATCAGGAGGGCCATGGAAAACTCACTCTCACCCAACCTCTGGCAAGGTGTCTATCTGGAATCAGACTAAGTAGGTAACTGGAGAATCGGTTGCTGGGCCCAGGGAGAGCAATCCAGGACTGAGACTCCCGGGGAGGGAAGTCCCTGTCCAGAGGAAAGTGGGGCCTTTTCTCTTGAAAGAGCCCTTGCCTCTGAGGACAGCCTGCTCCCTCCCTCTGGGGCCTCTCCAGCTCCTGCCTCTGCAGCCTGGGGTGAAGCCCTGGTGTGTGGTGTGCTGTGCCTCCCTCCTGCCCCTCAGGGTCCGCATTGTGGGGCTCCGCATTGTGGGGCTCCGCACATGGACTCCGGACCCAAGCCGAGGCCTGCCCTGAGGAGGACAGGACACTCCAGCTCTGCTGTCCCGTTTGTAGCTATTCGAGGGGGTGAAGGCCAGTCTCTTCAACAGCACGGCCACAGCGGGTGGCTGGCAGTGCAGGCCCACCCCGCCTTGTCCTCTCCCTGCAAAGCGCTCAGTGCCCACTTGCAGGTGGTCATCGCTGGTCAAGGGAGGGGTGGGGCCTGGGGGCCAAATGCATTGGGGGGCCGACACCCCACGCTCTGTGACTCGACTCCCCGGGGGAGGAGGCGTGAGGTCAGGGATGCGCCTCCTCCCAGGCCACTGCCCTTCCACGGGGGTGCGAGGGCGACCTCACAACCCCCCGACGTGGGCGGGCCGTGGAACCCCGTACGGGGACCCCGCCTGCCGCGACCGCCGGGGCGCGGGTCCTCCCAGCCTGCGCGGCGCGCGGAGACCAAACCGCACGCAGCGCCCGCCCCGGAAGGCCCCGGGGGTCCCAGCCCACTCCACGCCTCCGCGGTCACCTGTTTCCTGCGCGGGTCGGAAGGAGGGCGCCGGGCCGCTGCCCGCGAGGAGAGGACCCGCGCCCCGCGGCGTCCTGGCCGGGCTGGTGGGCGGGACACAAGTGGTGGGCGGGGCTCGCTGTGTGGGCGGGGCCGGTGGGCGGGGCCCGCCGCGGTGGGCGGGGCCAGGCGCCGCGGGAGGGGCGGGGCTTGGAGCGTGGGGGCCGCAGCAGCCCGCGGGGTCCAGCCAGCTGTGGGCCCGCGCGGGGACCCCACACTCCAGCTCCCAGGACGGACTCGAGCCCCCGCAAGGCCGCGCAGTCCCGGGCGCAGCGGGCGAGAGCGGCTCCCCGCGCCGGGCTCCCAGCGGGCGCGGCGCAGCCTCGCGGGGCCGGGGCTGGGGGTCCAGCGGCCCCGACGGCCCGTCCCGGCTCTGGAGCGCAGCGGCTCCGGGCCGCGGGGTGCCGAGGGCGGCCTGAGCGCCGGGGCCGGGTGCGCTTTCCCCGCCTCCGGGACCCAGGGGCCGGGCCCGCAGGGAGAGGAGCGCCCCGCGGCCCCGCCGCACACGGGACGCCCAGGGGCCTCTGGCCAGTGCGGGGCGCGGGGGGCCGCGCCGACCTTGTGGCGGTTTCCTTGAGACGCTTCGGCCCCTTTAGAACTCGCAGAGCGGGTGCGGGGGGTCGGAGAGCAAGAGCCCCCGCCCCCACCCTAACCCTAACCCGCTGGGGGGACGGAGCCGGCCCTTTCGTAGCTCCAGGCCCGGCCCGGCTGGAGAAAAGCCTCCAGGCTCCCCAGCCCCGTGCGCGCCCCGCCGTGGGCGCTCCTCTCCCGCCTGGGCCTCGAGCGCCAGGGCCAGATGGGGGGGCTGCCCCCTCTTGGGGTCGGCAGCCTGAGGGTCAGGGCGGGGGGGGGGGGTGTCGGGCGAGTGCACAGGCGCAGCGGGGGGGCCCCGTGGCCACGCCCAGGCCCGCCACCCCGCCCCATACGCCCGCCCCACGGTGCCGGCCCCCACCCACTCGTGGGGAGCCCCAGAGCCCACGTGTCCTCCAAGGAGAGCCAGGGAGAGGTCAGGGACCCGCAGGGCCCCGTTCCCGAAAGGCCACTCCGCAGATCGCGGCTCCCGGGACGCACTGAGCGCACTGGGGGACGCGGGGGCGTCTGTCCGGGGCTGACCCTTCAGCGCGTCCTGCGGGGAGACGCGGCCCCTGGGCTCTGCGAGAGCACAGCATGTGGGGGTTCCTGTCTGCCGGAGACCAGCTCCGGGGAACGGGGCTGAGAAGAGGGCTCCGAGGGAACCGAGGAGTAAAGGAAAGACAGACACTGAGTAGGGTGGAGGAGACGCGGGGCTCAGGGGACGCTGGGCCTCCGTTCCAGGCTCAAGCGTCCCAAGTGCCCGGGGGCCACTCGTGTTGATTGAACAAACCGCCCCCCCCACTAGACCACGAATCATCCTCGGCATTTTGCCTGGTTTGATCCGGGAGTACATCCAGGTCCTGGTAATTGGGGATCTTCTGCTCCCACTGTAACCTGGCCTGCCTCTCAGTCCTAGCTTTGCTGACACAGGAAAGGACATCATGGCCTGGACATGGGCCAGTCTCCTAGCCCGTGCTGACCAATCTTCCCATCACGACCCTGACCTTCATCTCGTCCCAGCATGTCAGCCCTTCAGGGTCTCCAATATCTGTCTCTCAGGGATGTCAAGGATCCCTTCCCTCCCTTGCGCTACCCAGAACGTCCAGCCCCACACACAACAGAGCAGGAGCCATCAGCTCCAGCCTTGCCCCTGTCTCAGGAGGCCCCTTCCAGAGGGTGCCCCCTGAGCCCACGGATGTTGGCTGTGCCTTTTGTAGGATGCCCTGTGTCCTGCGGAGCAAACTCTGTGGATGGAAGGATGGATGGATGTCTAACTCTCCATCCAAGATGGCAGGTTTATTCTAAGGAGAGAGCGGGGAGGACAGGATGCCAGCTCGAGCACCAGCACACTGAGAGCGCTGTCCCTGACTGGGACTGGCTCATGAAAAGAGATGACCAACTTCCCAGTAACAGGAGGTGCCACCGGAAGGAGAAGCCACCTCCCCCACTGCGCTGAGGCCAGAGGCTGGCTTGGAGACACACCTGCCTGGGCACCAGCGGGTAGTAAGGGCTGCTCGGAAGAAACATTTCTTGCTTGGGGGCCCTAAATCTGCCCTTGACTTCGGGGGTACCAGGAGTTTCCCCCAAACAAGGGAAGGGTAGTCTGTTTGGCCATCCATTCGGCCACCCCAGGTGGATTCAAGCCATGGCCATGACCACGGGCCTGTGCTTTCCTTCCTTTGTCCCAGGACAGTACGTGTTGGCTTCTGTCACCTCTAGGTTGCTTGGTTTGGGCTCCATCCACCTTCCCTGGCATGTTAACATGTGCTGAGACATGTTTGAAGACAATCATGAGGCATGTCAGCTGGGCTGTCCTCGCCACCCATGCGGTGTCTGTATCCCACACTTGTCCTGACGGACCCCACGCTGACCCTCCTCCCTCCCCATGTCATCTCGGGGTCTGTGGCCTCTGCCCAAAGGAGTCCAGGGACAGGGAGGCAGCTTCAGGGACAGCACAGCAGGGACTTTGGGACAGGGAAGGGAGGCAGCTGAGAACAGGGCAGAGACACTCAGGAGGGCTGAGAAGGGCAGCACTCTCGGGAACCTGGGCCAGGGGAGGTACAGAGAGAAACTCTGAGAGAAGAGCCGGGGAGACCGCACCTCTGCTGGAGGAGGACCTCCGCGGAGACAAAGAGCCAGTCCCACAATCAGATGATGAGATTTCAGAATAGAGGGAGAGACTCAGGCCCACGACGGCGTCCTCGCCCCTCCTGAGCACAGCGTCCCTGGCAGTCCTGACTTTCTTCCTTGGAATAAATGGTTCTTTACTTTCTGAGAAAAGTTTCTGTCTCTGCTGATTTTTTGTGGGACGAGACCCTGTGGTGGCTCAAGGATTAAAGGAACAGCACACAGCGGGGATGCAGGGGGTGACTGTGGCCTCCCTCAGAGGCCCCTTCCCCCTGAGGAAACCCAGCCTAGCCTTGCAGAGGCTGGACGCGACGCCTTGCTGCCCCGTGTGGAGAGTGTGTCCCCTCACAGGCCAGGACGGCATGCCAAGGGAGGCGAGGGTTTGAAGCCGCGCGGCAGCCCCTCTCTGCTCTTCCAGCTGTTTCGATGGAACACGGGTGACTTTAAAGAAAAGCACCTGGAGGCCTCGGCCGAGGCACTGCATTTTGGGCAGGACGTTGAGTGGCGCGGGGGGGGGGGGGGGGGCGGTTCCGCGCGAGAAGAGGACACCGAGGCCCGTGAAGAGCCGGCCCGGCTGCGACCCACAAGCTCCCACGGGCGGGGGAACCCACCGGGAAGGACGTGTGTTCAGTATCTGAGAACCGGACCCCGCCCACTGGCGCCTGTGCGTCCCCCGCACGGCCCGGGTCCCCCACGGGCAGATCTCGGAGGACGCGGGGCTGGCGGACGTGGCCGCCCTGCCGAGGGCCAGGTCGCGGGCTGGCGCCGAGGGACCGCCCGCACGTCCACCCGGGGAGGGCGGCCACCGCCGGCCCCACGATCAGACCCGCGGTCCGGTCCCGGCGGGGCCTCCCTTCCCGGGGGCCCTAAAGCGGCGGGGGGGGGGGGGGCGCTTCGCCGGCTCCCGGACAGTCCCCGCAGAACTCGGAGACCCCGCCACGCCACGCCCCCGCCACGCCACGCCCCCGCCACGCCACGCCCCGCTGCCCCCGGACTCCGCGCCCGCCACGCCCGCAAGCCCCGAGCGTCAGGGCGGCGAGATCCCGCGAGATCAGGCCGCGCCCGCGAGACTTGCACACTGGACCCCGCGAGGCCTCCCGCCGAACCCGCGCCGGCGCCGCCATCTTGACCGGCCCCGCGGCCCCGGGCAGAGAGGGCTCGGGCCCGCTGCGGCGGGCTTTGCGGTCTGAACATGGTGCCTGCGGCCGGACTGGACGCAAGACTTCCCTCCCGAGTTCTCGGAATGGGCCTCCGCCATCGTGGCGAGCCCCGCGGCCCTGGGGTGAGAGCCCGCAAAGTCGGCTCCCTGCCGTTGCACTCCCACCATCTTGGCGAGCCCGGCGGCCAGTCCCCTGAGGTGGCGGCTCAGCCGGACTCTCGGCCTGCGGGCCCTGAGTGCGCGCCGGGCATAGCTGCTACAGGGCAGCCCTGATAAAGCGGGTTGCCCGACTGTGGCCCTCGCCCTCGCTTAAAGGGGACTCACTGCTGGCGCCCCAAGGGCCCACGAAGGGTCTTTCACAGGGCAGGGGAAGGAGGAAACGGCCAACTCGGAGGAAAGAGGGAGATGAAGTCTTGAATGCGTCCTACCCGCTCCGCCGACCTGGAATCCCAGCGGCCCGGGGGCCGAGAGCAGTGCCGGGCGCCCAGCCCCACCGACTGGCTGGTTTTGTGGACACGCGGAGAAGATGGCCGCCGGCCCCGCCCTCAGGCCCTCGCAGCCGCCCTCGGGCTCCTGGGAACTGTAGTCCCAGCGTCTTGGCGGCGGGGGCGGCCTCCGCAAAGCCTGTGTGGCGTTGCGCGCCGGACGCCCTTTCCCCCAACACAGCCGCGGATCGAGCTGGTCTCGGGCTGACGGTCCGCCGGCCGCGCCGCCAGACCCGGTGCGGCCCGCCCGCGCAGCCGTCTGGCCCGTCAGCCCGCGCGCCCGAGTCCGCGGCTGTCCCAGGCGTCCGGGCGGGCCGGGGCTGTGGCGCGGCCTCCACGCCGGGGTCTCTGCGCGGCCGCCCGGCGGGCTGCGGGCACCTGCCCCGCCCTGCAGCGGCGGGGAAGCGGCGGCGGCTCCGCGCGGGCTCCCGCCCGTCAGCCCTTCCCCGCCGGGCCCGCGGTCCCGGCTCCTCTCGGGCCGCACCGCCCTCCGCCGCCACCAGGGGGCGCCGCGGCCCGGCCGCCTCTGCCCAGCCCTTTCCCGGGCCCCAGACGCTCCCACCGGCGGTGCCCGCGGCCTGAGCGGCGATCGGGGCGGCGTGGGGGGACGCCCGCACGGCAGCGTCGGGTCCGGTCGCCGCGGGGCCGACAGGGCCGAGGAACACGGGAAGCGGCGCGGACAGAGTGGGGCGGGGCGGGGGCGCGCTTGCCCGCGCTGAGCTGCCCGCTGCCGGGGGGCTCGGGGCCAAAGCCGACAGAATGAGGCTCCCGGGAGCAGGAAATCCACCCGCGCCCCGCGCCCCGCGCCCGCGCGCCCCGCGCCCCGCGCCCCGCGCCCCGCGCCCGCGCCGGAAGGGACCCGGACCCAGAACGATGATGAGCAGGGAGCGATTCGGCAAGGCCCAGAAGGGAGGCAGGAGGGAGCGGGGTCTCTCAGCAGCGACCACAGCGGCTGCGGGAAGGAGGAGCTGCGGGACAGCAGGCGAGGGAGGAGCTGCCGGGTGGGGGCTCACAGGGCGACGGGCCAAAGCGGAAAAGAATGAGGCCTCACGGGGGCTGGTCCTCCACCCTCGGCCCCACCCCCACTCCCAGAAGCTGAACAGGAGTCCAGGGGCAGCGGGGCAGACAAGGAGAACTTGACCATAGCCAGTGCGAGCTTGGAGGGCCCGGGGGAGGCCCAGCAGCGAGGCAGGAGGGAGACGGGAGCAGGGGAGGGAGTGCGCATGGGCACTGGGCCGTGGCAGGGGAGAGATTGCGTCAAAGCTTTGAAGAGGGCGGCTGGACCCAGCGAAATGTCACCCGGAAGAGCTGAATCCTGGACTCTCGCTCATTGCTGACCGTGTCCATTCCTACCGCCCTTCTGCGGGGAGCTGGGAATTGACGGTTTTGGCTACAAACAGTCTGAATCCTCTCATCACCCACCCCACCACCACCACCACACACACCTCTGGCCTACCTTCCAGCTCCTGTATGCATAAATGAATAAATCTTTTTTAAAAAATCTTGATTTGGGGCCTCCCCGGTGGCGCAGCGGTTGAGCACTGGGTTGCGAAGCTGCCCGCGGCCTCTGTGGCGCCGGTTCGATCCCCGGTTGCTCCCCGGCCACCAGAGGAGGGTTCCACATGGCGGACAGACCTCTCCTGCCGCCCGCTGCTCCCCTCAGCAGTGTGCTTCGGTCCTTCTGCCTGCTCTGCTCCCCGCTCTGGCTCTGGTGAATTCTCTCACCCTCCCGCGCTTCTTACTGTACCCAGTGCATGTATAAACAAAACAAACAAGTAAATAAAAATCATAAATAAATAAAAATATATGCCTCTTAAAAAAAATAAAAAAAAATGTTTTAAAAAAATCTTGATTTGTGAAAATGTCCTCCGGCTCTTAATTTACAGGGAGAAATGATTGGAAACCATCTCAATGAAAACCCAAGGAAACAGTCCACCATATCTCACAGATACATCAAATGTGACCATGTTCAGTGAAGAAAGTGGAAGATAAAACTCTCGAGATAGTGTTATTCCAGCATGGATAGAAAACATGAGTGAACTCACCTAGTGTGCATGTGGACTAGAATGGACGTGGCGTCCAGTGCAACACCATACAGCAGTGATAGCAGGAGGCTCTAGCTGCAGCCAATCCTGGGGATCACCTTGCCCCACATCTTCTTGAAAGAGTCTAGATAAAAATGAACCAAATAGGGCTGATTTCTATTCCACATACCAGACAAAATGAAAATCATGCTTTCATGCTACACTTCATAATACGCCATCATGTGAGAACGTTGTCCTGAAGAGCATGGGGAATCGTTATTGTAAAGGTCACCTATTGGTGCATACTCAGAGAGGAAGATGAGGACATGTGATGGTATGTTTCTTCCCCAGTTCATGGGAGTTCATGTTGTGATTCTGAAACTCTACATGGATACGAACTGCCCTTATACACGGGTGTTCTAGGTCACAATTCAAAATAATGGAAATCACCGGGAAGAGAGTCAGCTAACTCATAAAAGTGTTTCTCTTTAGATGAAAAATCTTTGTTGACCATTGGTCATTTTATTTTAATCTACAGTTGAAATTTCCTAGAATGTACACAGCTCTCTCTCAGAAGAACCAGTCGACTCAAGATAATGAAAAATTCACCAGTGCACTTATATCCCCAATCCTTGGCAGGTAAAAAAGAACCAGGAAAATGACTTTTAAAGTGAATCACTCCATTGTGGTCACAGCAAAACTACTTTTAAGGGTGAAACTATGGCCTTCTTGCCAGTCAGGCAGGCATGGGCAGAGCAGCTTCACTTGGAGTGAATGTCAAGGTCACCTCATTGATGGTAGTGAGGGGGTTTGGGTTTCTGGCCTGAACCTAGGCTCCTGCTCATTCGTAAATCCAGACAAACACATTTTGCCTTTTTAAAAAAAAAAATTATCAATGTATTCTGCTTAACCCACAAGCTTTATATTACTTTGATTTAGGGGGAAAAGAAGTGACACTAAGACACTCATTCAAAGTCCAGACCCTTCCAGCTTTTCAATACAAGAGTTCTGAAAGCTGTACATACCTATGGAATGAAATGGCCAAATGATGAATGGAGCCATGACTTTTCATAAAACAAGATTTGAAGTAACAGAGATCTTTCCTCTGCCTAGTTCATTGCCTTTACCAAAAAACAAACCACAAAAAGGAATACAACAGAATACGGCCTCCCTCCCTGGTGGGGCAAGGGGTTAAGATGCAACCTATGAAGTTGTCCACAGTCACTGCAGCGGGAGTTCCATCCCCGGCCAGGGAGCTACCCACATGGTGCAGCAGACCTCTCCTGTCTCACCCCCTGCTCCCCTCAGCAGTGTATTTCAGTCTGCCTGTTCTGTTCCTCGCTCTGTCTCTGGTGAATCCTCTTACCCCCCACACCTCTGCCCTGTACCCCAGTTCTTATATGCATAAATAAATCTTTAAAAAAATAGGGGGCCTCCCTGGTGGCCCAAGGGGTTAAGATGCAACCTATGAAGCTACCTGCAGACACTGAAGCACGAGTTCGATCCCCGGCCAGGGAGCAACCCACATGGCGCAGAAGACCCCTCCTGACTCGCCCGCTGCTCCCCTCAGCAGTGTATTTCAGTCGATCTGCCTGTTCTGTTCCCCACTTTGTCTTTGGTGAATCCTCTCACCTCCCACACCTCTGGTCTGTACCCCAGTATGCATAAATAAATAAATCTTGTATGCATAAATAAATAAATCTTTAAAAAAAAACAGGACAGAATAGAATGAAAATTCCTGTGTTGTAGATCAACTCGCCCCACATTAGTAGCCATCCCCAGGGTCCTGCCAGATAGCCCCCTGTCCTTTTCTGTCTCCTCCTAGAGCTCAGATCCTGATGATGGTAGCAGAGATTCAGCCACAGCCATGGTGGCGAAGGGAAAGGTGCAGGGTGTGGGGAGCGGAGAACAGGGAGAGGTGGCTGAGACATGTGTCCTAAGCCTTGAAGAAAACTGCTGGAGGGAGTGAAAGGCAAGAGGAGGATGAGAAGAACTCTGGACTCTCGCTCATCCCTGACTACAACGCATCAACTCCTACCGCTCTTCTGCAGGGGCGGGGGAGTTGGGAATACGGAGCTTTCTTTGTCAATGGAAAGAACCCTTCTCCTTTGGAAATAGGAATTCCGGAAGTGCTTGCGACACACCTAAGAATTGATGTGTCCAAATGCTACGCGGGCCTGGAGAGGGACAAATCGTCGATAACAATCTCCAGGAGGATCCCAGGGAATGGAACCATCCATCACCACAGATCCAGCCCAGGAAGACACCGTGTGTGTGTGTGTGTGTGTGTGTGTGTGTGTGTGAGAGAGAGAGAGAGAGAGAGAGAGAGAGAAGTCTCAGGTGAGATTTGGTGATGAAGTGTATGCGTGGGCAAACAGGTGGGAGGAGAAATGATGTTGTGTATGTTGGAGAGACAAGGTGAGAAATGAGAAACTGCCTGCCGATGTGTGCTAGCGAGACTCCCCCGGTGCACTCCCTGACTTACCCAGCTGCAAGACCCCTGAGAAAACACTACTTAGAAAATGCCGCTCCAGATAGGAAAATTAATGTGCTGCCAGGAGGAAACAGGAAATACCTGAATTTGGTGTTGTACAATGGAGATTCCACAAGAGGGAAAAACACAAAAAGATGCTGCTAACGTGACAAACTTTGTCTTTAATTTGACCAATACACATTTGACAAAATAGAATAAAGCAGCCCATTGACGGGCACAAGGTATTTACAGTAACAGCTGTGAAAACAAAATTGACGTATTTTCAAGCAAGTGTCTATTTATAAAGTTTCCTGTTGTGAGTATGGAAGACTTCCTGCTCCTACTCATGCCCTGGCCAGACATCCCAACGGTGGGAGTGTGGGGGCGCACATAAGGCCCAGGAGCAGGAGGTATGGGCTCTAAAACACCTGGCAACTGAGAATTATCTATTGGCATGAGCTCCGGAGCAAGAGAAGGGCCGGATTCTGGGGTAAGACAGAGAATGGAAGACTCCTAAGGAAACACCTAAGTACAAGACCTAACGTCACACTGATCTTTGCCAGTTTCCTTAGAGAAGGCTGGACTCTTATTTTTTTTTTTTAACTTACTCAATTTTCCCCTTTTGTGGCCTCCCCTGGTGGCACAGGCAGTTGAGCGCAGCACTGTGAAGCTGTCCACAGCCTCTGCAGCACCGGTTCAATCCCGGCCGGCCGTCAAAGGTTCCACATGGCGCGACAGACCTCTCCTGTCGTGCCTGCTGCTTCCCTCAGCAGTGTATTTTGTCAGTGCACCTGTTCTGTTCCCTGCTCTGTCTCTGGTGAATCCTCTCACCCTCCCGTGCATCTGACCTGTACCCCGGTTCTTGTAAAATAAATAAATAAATAAATAAATAAATAAATAAATAAATAAATCTTTAAAAAATATTTTCCCCTTTTGCAAAAAAAACACTAACCCCAAGACTCCCATTTTCCATGACATAAAAGCTAATAAACATCTAGAAACAGCTCAAGATTTACAAACTTATTTTATATCCAAAAGAAACTTTAAAGTAACTATTTTTAAAGATTTATTTATTTATGCATACAAGAACTGGGGTGCAGACCAAAGATGCAGGGGTGAGAGGACTCACCAGAGACAGAGTGGGGAGCAGAACAGGTGGATTAACTGAAACACACTGCTGAGGGGAGCAGTGGGGAGACAGAAGAGAGGTCTCCTGCACCATGTGGGCAGCTCCCTGGGATTGAACTCCCATGCTGCAGTGGCTGTGGATAGCTTCATAGTGCTGAGTCTTAACCCCTGTGCCACCAGGGAGGCCCTAAAATAACTTTTATAATCTGAAAATACACATGAGCAAAATTTCTCAAATTTTTCTCTCCTAATTCTTAAACACTCCAACTAATAATTTCCATTGTCTGAAATTACTTCCATAACGAGATACACTTTAAAATCCAGCACCGGGCCTCCCCGGTGGCGCAGCGGTTGAGCGCTGGGTTGCGAAGCTGCCCGCGGCCTCTGCGGCGCCGGTTCGATCCCCGGCTGCTCCCCGGCCACCGGAGGAGGTCCCACATGGCGCGCAGACCTCTCCTGCCGCCCGCTGCTCCCCTCAGCAGTGTCCTTCGGTCCTTCTGCCTGCTCTGCTCCCCGCTCTGGCTCTGGTGAATTCTCTCACCCTCCGCGCTTCTGACTGTACCCATGCATGTATAAACAAACAATAAATAAACATGCCTCTATTAATAAATAAATAAAAAATAATAAAATCCAGCACCATGGCCTCCCAGGTGGCACAAGGGGTTAAGCACAGCACTGTAAAGCTATCCACAGCCTCTGCAGCACAAGCTTGATCCCCAGCCAGGGTGCTGCCCACATGGCGCAGCAGACCTCTCCTGTCTCCCTGCCGCTCCTCTCAGCAGTGTATTTCAGTAGATCTGCCTGTTCTGTTCCCTGCTCTGTCTCTGGTGAGTCCTTTCACCGCCCCCCACCCCCCGCACCTCTGGCCTGTACCCCAGTTCTTGTATGAAAAAATAAATAAATTTTTAAATAAAACAAAATCGAGCACCACTTGCTCTTGTTAAAGGGAATGCCCACCTCCTCCATAATATTCAAAGACACAACATGAGAGACTGTATCCAGGTGGAAAAGAATTTGAATTTACTGAATTACATAAACAAAGCCCATAAAAAAATAACCTGTTTCCTTGTAACACTACTGAGACATGCAGGCAGCCAAACACATCAACGTCTATGATCCAACAAGACTAGTGAACTAACTCTACCTTCGACAAATGGCTTCCACGGGCCTTTGCAGAGCAGCCGCATTCCAAGCTCAGATCTGCTGCTCCTCCACTGGTGGCTCAGGAGCTTCCATCAGCTTATCTTCCTCTTCATTGTGCCAGCTTTGACAATGAGTCTTGATTCAAAATTACAACATGGACATTTAAGTAAACTTTGCCATGGGCTGCTACAGGATTTTTGAGTAGAGATTCCAAAAGAAAAGCCTTGCCACAAATAGTGTAAGGACTGTGGACATTATGCTTATTTACTAAGTGATGCAAAACAGCGCCCTTTTTCATTGCACGACAGCAGCAGATTTTGCAATAATACTTCCACATTTCATGTATTTTGAAATCTCCTCTTCAGAGATAAAAGTCTCTTTTTCTTCAGTAAATTGTAGTACATTTTTGGAGTGCTCTAAGGTAGCCATATCCATCTTGCTCTCTACTAATATCAATAGATTCCAAATTCACCTCTTCTTGGTCACTACTTGACTCTTTTTTTTTTTTTTATAGAGGCATGTTTTTATTTATTTGTTTGTTTGTTTGTTTTGTTTGTTTATACATGCACTGGGTACAGTCAGAAGCGCGGGAGGGTGAGAGAATTCACCAGAGCCAGAGCGGGGAGCAGAGCAGGCAGAAGGACCGAAGTACACTGCTGAGGGGAGCAGCGGGCGGCAGGAGAGGTCTGCGCGCCATGTGGGACCCTCCTCCGGTGGCCGGGGAGCAGCTGGGGATCGAACTGGCGCCGCAGAGGCCGCGGGCAGCTTCACAACCCAGCACTCAACCGCTGCGCCACTGGGGAGGCCCATTGACTCTTTTTTTTTTTTTAAGATTTCTTTATTTATGCATACAAGAACTGGGGTACAGGTCAGAGATGTGGGGGGTGAGAGGATTCACCAGAGACAGAGCGGGAAACAGAACAGACAGATGAACCGAAGACACTGCTGAGGGGAGCAGCGGGGAAACAGGAGAGGTCTGCTGCGCCATGTGGGTAGCTCCCTGGCCAGGGATTGAACGTGTGCTGCAGTGGCTGCGAATAGCTTCACAGTTTGCATCTTAACCCCCTGTGCCACCAGGGAGGTCCCACTACTTGACTCTTGACCCTTCATATCTATCACATACAAATCTGTGTTCATAAACTCATTGCTACTCAGCTCAGCACCTGAGTTTTCTTGGTTGTCTTACAGTTGAGAGGTCAACTCTAAGTACATGGGGTCAAGTACAGGTCTGAGGTCATGGAGAGAGGACAGGGGTCAAGAAGAGGTCAACCCTCAGTTCTCCAGGTCATGAAGAAGTTAGGGCTCAAGGAGAGGTCAACCCTAAATACTTGGGGTCAAGAGTGCAGCATAGAATTCAGTGAATTCAGAGTCACGCTTTCCTAGTCACTCGGGGTCGTGAAGAGATAAGTGAGTTCACAGAGAGATCAAATATAGGAATTAAGTCAGAAAATTAAATTAGGGTTAGGGTAGGGGGTCAAGGTTAGGGCTAGGGGTCAAGGTTAGGGTCAGGGTTCATGGTTGGGGTTAGGGTCAGGGTTACTCAATCTGTACACACCCTCCCACACCTATTTACAAACGCAAACACACAATCACTTAATGCATTACTCGCCTAGGCTCACACACACATATCAGAACTTCATTGCACATATAGACACACTTTCACAGACAGTGCTTCACACAGGTGACTAGTCACTGACATCTTCATGACCCCTTGTGTTTAGGCTTGATCTCTCTGTCTACCATACCTGTATGTAATTAACCATCAGACCCTTTCAAATATCTCTCTCTCTGATTTATCCCCTCACACCACACACTAACCCACTCTAACCCCAACCCCAACCGCCACCCTCACCCTCTGACTCGCACCCTAACCCATTACCCATATTACACTTATGCCAAAGCCAAAGACAGTGAATTAAAAAAGAAAATTATAGACCAGTATCTCTGATGAGCATAGATGCAAAAACATTCTACAAAGTCCTAGCAAACTGAATACAGCAACATATAAAGAAAACCATCCACCACAATCAAGCAGTTTCACCCCAGGGATGCGAGGCTGGTCCTACACATGCAAATCAATCAGTGGTCGCCAGAGCAACGCAAACCAAGACAGAAACCACAGGAGCATCTGGCTAGATGCCCAAAGGCATGACAAGCTCCAACATCAATTTGTGATCACGAAACACTCAACAAATGGGAGTAATGGAATTTATCTAAACATCGTAAAGACCACATATAACAAACCCACAGCCCACGTCACATCAGTGGTGAAAAGCTGGAAGCATTTGCCCTGGAAATAGGAGCAAAACAGGGCCCACCATTACCGCTGTGCGTCAACAGAGCCCCGGACGAACCAGCCAGAGCAAGCAGGCACTAAAAAGACACAAATCCAACTCAGAAACGGTCACTATTTATACATGACATGTAGATACACTTGGACAAACCGAAAGATTCTACCAAAAAAAACTTTCAGAAATAACAAATGAGGACGGTAAAATGGCAGGACACAAAATCAGTTCACAAAAATCAGTGCATTCCTATGTGCAGCAACGTATCCGAGGAAGGGAAACAAAGAAGACCATCCCACTTACAATCACACCAGAGCAAATGAGATTCCTGGGAGTAAACGTTACTAAGGAGGGGAAGGCCCTGTATATTGAAAACTGAAATTCTGTTAAAGGAAATAAAAGAGAACACAGAGAAATGGGAAGATGTCCTGTGTCCACGTCATTGAGAAGGCCACACTGCCCAACGTGGGTCACAGTCAGTGCAACACCAATGCCTTTTTTCTTTCAAAGATTTGTTTTATTTATTTATGCACACAAGAGCTGGGGTGCAGGCCAGAGGTGTGGGGGGTGAGAGGACTCCCCAGAGACAGAGTGGGGAGCAGAACAGGTGGATCTGCTGCTGAGGGGAACAATGGGGAGACAGGAGGGGGCTGCTTATGTGGACAGACCCTGGGGATCCTGCTGGGGATCAGGATCAGGATGGCACTCAGGCTGGGTGGCTCAATGCCTTTTTTCAAGGAAACAGAACAATTAACATGTGTATGGAACAACAAAGACCCCAAATAGCAAAACAATCCTGAGGAAAAAGAAGAAAATGGAGGTACACCCCTCCCAGCTTCACACACCGTTACACAGAGGAGGTAGCCAGCAACACACAGCAAGGCACTGGGCCCAAAATGGAAACCCAGAACAATGCAGTGGAACAGAGAGCCTGGGGCGACCCCCGCATGACCGCCCACACACACATGTGGACAGCAAGCCAACAGCCTCTTAAGGAACGGGGCCAGAAAGGTGGGCGATCACTTGCAAGAAGATGAAACGAGACCCATACTTAATGCCACACACTAGACTCAAATGGACTCGTGATCTGGTAGAGGGTGTGTGAGGGAGTGTGTGAGGGTGAAGGTGTGTGGGGTGAGTGTGTGAGGGAGTGTCTGAGGTTCTGTGAGGGGGTGTGTTGTGAGGGTGTCTAAGAGTGTGAGGGGGTAAGGGAGTTGAGGGGGTGAAGAGGTGGCGGGGTGTGAGGGTGAGGGGGATGAGGGGGGTGAGGCGGTATGAGGGGGTGTAAGGGGGTTAGGGGTGTGAGGGTGAGGGTGTGAGGGATGAGGGGGATGAGGGGTGTGAGGAGAGTGAGGGTGTGAGGGCATGAGGGAGTGTGAGGAGGGTGAGGGGGTAAGGGGGTGAGAGGGTAAGGGTGTGAGGGGGCGAGGGTGAGGGAGGGGATGAGGGGGTAAGGGGTAGTGTGAGGGGGTGATGGGGTGAAGGGCTGTGTGGGGTGAAGAGGTATGAGGGTGTGAGAGCTTGAGGGGTGTGAGGCAGTGTGAGGGGGTGAGGGGGTGTGAGGGGGTTGAGGGAATGTAGGGGTGAGGAGGTGTGAGGGATGAGTGTGTGTGAGGGGTGGGTGTGAGGGGTATAAGGATGTGAGAGGGTATAAGGGGGTGAGGAGATATGAGGGGGTTGAGGAGGTGAGAGGGTGTGAGGGAGAAGGGGGGTGAGGGGTTGTGAAGGGGTGAGGGGGTGGGGGGTTGAGGGGTTGTGAGGGGGAGGGAGGAGGGTATGAGTGGATTGAAGGGGGGTGAGGGTGTGAGGGGGTATGAGGAGGTGAGGTGTGAGGGGTATGAGAGGATGTGAGGTGGTGAGGGGTAAGTGGTGGGTGAGGAGGTGAGGGGGTGAGGGATTTGAGGGGGTGTGAGGGTGTTAGGGGGTGAGGGTATGAGGGGGATGAGGGGATGTTAGGGTGGTGAGGGGGTCTGAGGGACTGTAGGGGATGTGAAGGAGTGAGGAAATGTGGGGGGTATGAGGGGAGTGAGAGGTGTGAGGTGTGAGGAGGCGCGAGGAGGGTGAGGGGGTGTGAGGGTGTTAGGGGGTGAGGGGTGAGGGGATGTTAGTGAGGATGTGAGGGTGTTAGGGGAGTGAAGGGATCTGAGGGGTTATAGGGGATGTGAAGGGGTGTGAGGGTATGAGGGGGATGTTGGGGTGAGGAGGTGTGGGGGTTGTGAGGGGGTGAAGGTGGGCGAGGGCTTGTGAGAGGGTGGATGAGGGTGTGTCTGAGGGTGCGAGGGGGTGTGTGTGTGAGGGGGTGTTGCAGGGGTGTGTGAGGGGGTTTTATGGAAGGTGAGGGGGTAAGGAGTGAGGGGGTTTCTGAGGGTGTGAGGGAGGGTAAGGGAGTGAGGGGGTGTGAGGGTGTTAGGGGCTGAGGAGGATGAGGGGATGTTAGGAGGGTGAGGTGTGAAGGGGTGTTAGGGCTGAGGCGTTCTGAGGGGTGTGAGGGAGGGTGAGGGGTTGTGAGGGGGTGAAGGTGGGTAAGGCTTGTGAGGGGGTGGGTGAGGGTGTGCGTGAGGGTGTGTGTGTGTGAGTGGGTGTTGCAGCGGTGTGAGGGGGTTTGATGGAAGGTGAGGGGGTAAGCGATGAGGGGGTGTCTAAGGGTGTGAGGGAGGGTAAGGGGGTGAATGGGGTGTTGCAGGGCTGAGTGTGGGGATGCACCCCCCTCACGAGGCCAAGGCAGGGTTGGTGGCCGAGGAGCGGGACGAGGCCCGAGAGGGCGCCCGCAGGCGGAGCGGAGAGGCTGCCTCAGGGAACCTCGGGGACCTCGGCTTGGGGGCTGCGCGGAGCCTGGGCGCGCC